CCGTTTGAGTGGAATGAAAAAAAAAATCAATTTTAAATCTTTTCAATTGTACCCACTTACTTTTTAAAATAACGACATTCATATTTATGTTTGCTTTTGTAATATTTTGTTAAAGTTGTTAAGCTCAAATATTTAACGATGCGATAGGGAAATTTCTACGGATATTTTATTGTCGTAGATCTCACTATGAGCTTATTCCATCATTAACTTTAAAGATTTAAGATTCATCAGAAATTTTGAATAGGAAAACCGTGAATTTTCCTCAGCTTAAAACTATACTTATTATTATTATTTGTTGAATTATTAATATATATACGGAGCGTCTATTCAAATACGAGTATCCACTAATAATAACGTTTAAAGTTATACAAATCTGTAGGATTATTAAATTCTCTTCGTTTATGTTTATAAACGGATGTACGGGTAAATATGAAAAACATCGCAAGATAATTGACAAGAGAAAACATCATAGAGTACCAAGCAAGTGTTTTACTGTTAAGGTAACTATGATTAGTGGAAGCGATACTGATGTTTCTAAATCATGAGTGAACCTAAGATCTTCATCTAGTAATAGTTTTGGAAAGCACCATTGTTATTGCTGCAGTTGTTTTAATTTCTATATTCCGACATTTTGTCGACAAATGATTTTCGACTTGACCATGTGAAGATGCCTCACTCTGCTCTAATCTATTGTACTTTACTCGCCCTTCTTTCTTTGTGTAAGCTAATTCTTCGCCAAATACATACAGAATAAATACAGAAAAGAGCCACACAAGTTAGAGATTTACCGAATGAAGTTGTCGTATGAACGTAACAGAGGAAGTATGGCATTCAGATTATGAAGACAGGAAAGGTAAATGTCAACTAAAGATTTAACGATCGAGCAAGCATCGGTTAGGGTTTTTGTTCCGCTAAGTATCACTTACTGGGAAGAAACACTCCGTATGTAACTTCCTCCTTACTAATGGAATAAGAAAGGGAAAGAGGATAACTCAACCATGGCAGGATTTCGCTGCAACGTATGAATTGGTGGACCAGAAGAATTTAGTAATAAATAAAAATATCACAATAATTACAGTAATAAATAAATATCACAAGTCATATGGTTTGGAACGGCTTTATTCATTGTCCACAGTAGGACAATTTTGCCGACTAATTGTCTGTGTCGATGAGAGTGTATTCAGTGAGAAGAAAGGAAATGTGGGATTCTTTCACAGGCAATTTTGTGTTCTCGCTAATTGTAGAGTCGTCAATTAAGGGACTAATGAAAAGGTATCTCTACATCATTATTTTTTTCTTTATTTTGCGGGAATTGTGAATGTCAACTGGCACATGTCGAAACGACATGTTTTCAAAAACCCGCGTGGTTTTTTATTATTTCGGATTAAATCTGAATTATTCTCTTGTATTTGCACACAGTTTTATATCAAACAGAATCCAAATATTCCGGGCTAGACTTTAGGGCAAATCCATACTGTAGTCATTTACATAGAGTCGTGAGGCATCTGGTGATGTGCGAAATGCTATATAAGGAATTTGTGAAATCAGCCGGCTAATCTCTGCTTCACACTGACACACAAAGGGTTTGTACTTTTTTTTTTACCTGTATAAATTTCTTTAATATTTTCTATCATCATTTTCTTTTCTTTCTCTCTTCCATTTCGTCTCTTTAAGTCTCGAGATTTCTCTACACTGTCCGTCTTTTTAACATTCTCACTCTGATAATTCTGTTAAGATTACATCTTCCCGACGCCTCCTACCGAGTCAGCTTTAAAACGCACCCTTTCACCCTTAATGACTTCTTTTGCCAGATTAATAAATAAAAATCCTTTCCTTTGTTTTTAAATTGCTTTGTTTACATAAGGAAAGGAAACTGAGTATATATGTCGTTTTGGGCCTCAGAGAAAAATCTTTATTAAAATACACGTTCAAATTTGTATGAACAGTAATGCGGTATGTAGCCGTTAGGTTTCCCCGAGAAAAACGCAGGTTCGAATCCTGCCGGAGATCCCATATTTTTTTATCTCATAAGAACCCTCAAATATTAAAGGCGGTAGACCAAAATAGGTAAATAGAGTGATAGAAAATAGACAGAGCATCTACTCAAAATAACGTTTGAAATAATTGAAATCTGTCGTATTAATAAATAAAAACTACATCCCATTCTTTATACATATGTATATGTGTGTGTGACATTAATAAGACAAAACTATAAACTACGCGTTTCGTCGGAAGATTTATGGCACTACTTGTCTCCAGAGATTACATTTCCTTGCAAAAATCCTGACTTTAAGTCTAACCTGAAGAAGCCGGACACAGTAGACGTTCTTTGGGTGAAACGCATCGTTTATAGGTGTTCCACTTCGTCTCAATAACTTTCACTTTTGTTTTTATATATATATATATATATATATATATATATATATAAATATATTATATATATATATATATTCTAAATCTTTTCATTTCAGTCCAGGCATCATTTGGAGTCAACATAGAATTTTGTTTGTTGCCAGCGGGTTTTTGTTTTTATCTGATTTTATTTTCAACTAGCCATTTTAACAATGCGATGAAACAAAATAATTTAGCTAAAAAAAACAACAAAATGGCGTAGAATATGAAACATAAAGAAGCAAATAATAGAATAAAAAATAATGAAAATGGTTGGAAATCTTGCCTAAGGTATACACAATTGGCTGGCAACGTAGGTGATTTTGATAGAAAAGAATTTCAACCTTTTTTTTTTTTAAAGACAAATTCAAAGAAAAGAAAATTACGCTAAACTGGAAATGAGTATTTCGAGTTACGTAGACATGCATATTTTTTAATCCATCTACGGCAAGCAAGGTGATAATGCCACTAAGATGCAAAGGGCTGTTGGGAGTGAAAGTGAATGCAAATACTTTAGATATAGCCGAAAACATAATCCTAAACAGGGGCTAAACTTCTACTCTTGTTCAAAATACAGGGGAGGAATGTGGACCGGATGATAGGAGAACCTATCTACATATATTAAAAAGAAAAAACTAATTACTAAGTAAAATTTCAGAGTTCTTTAAACAAAAGAAATTAATAAATAAAGAAAGAATGAAAAAAAAGAGAAATAGAGAGATTGTGTTCTTTCTCTTATAGTCCTTAAACATCACCACCTAACGCCGTATTGGCAGTTCAAGTGAGGGGGATCCAAAGCACAGTCTAATTTGTACTAATCTTCATAGCTAGCTGCACCTGCCTGACATTAAGGTCAGTTTTCTTTCTTTATCGTAAGAAATGCCATTGCATTAACTAAAAAATCACCTTACTGTGATTGCAGCAAGTGTTGCAGATTTTCACTAACTTTCTGTGAATACTTGCAGCAGTTACCTATTCCAAATCCAGAACATCTGTAACAGTTATTTGCTATATACCTTTGTCTAGGTATTTTGAAAGAGGACAGGGGCTAGGAAATGTGAATTCAATTTACCAAATTTCCACTGGCCTCCTCAAATTTTGACTAATACTTTTTAATTTAGATTAGAAGTGGGTTTACTTTTTGACTGACTCTTGTAAAACTACTTTGCCGAATATATTTCAGTGAATTAAATGTAAATAATAAAAAGTATAGGCATAGAATTTTAAAAATATATTTAAAAAAAATCAATTTTATTTTCCCCAATAGTCAACACATCCGGAGGATAAAAGTTTAAATCAACATAAAAAAACAATTTTTTCTTCGTTGACGAATGAAATGTTTTTTGTCTAATTTATTTTTATTTTTCCCGTTTTTTTTCGTCTTGTAAGTCTAATATATTTGTTAATGAAGGGATTTTAATATTCTCTTGCCTCTAATGATATTAACCATTTGCGGACAGTAGATGCTAAGAGCTAATCTCTTGCGGATAATAAATACAGAAAACAATTACTTCAAGCAACTTGTCCTCAATAGAGACAAAAGATTACAAATAAAACGGATTCGTTCAGATTACAAATGAAATGACTTATTGTTTATTTGTTAAATATTCTATTTATTCTGTTTCCTTTTTTTGTTTTGTTTTAGCACTGCAATTATTAAACTTTCTACATTTTATACTAGAATTTACTTCATACAAAGTTCGAAAGCCATTCAGAGTAGGGCTACTGTTAAAATCGAAATGGGGAATAAACTGTACGTTAAAAATGATAGATGAAGCATTAGAAAATTAAGATGATAAGGATACGGAAGATACATCTAGATTGGAACTTGATTTGAATCGGTTTAAGAGTTTAAGTACCCAGGGAGGTTAAAAGAGTCGACACTGGGTGTATGTCGTCTGTCTAGAAACGGTTGTTATATATTTAAAATAAAAACAAAATAAAAGATAGGTTCAATGAAAATAAATTTGTTTATTAATAGAATCTTTAATGTTGATAAATAAATAAATACAGTATCGACCAAATTTTCTGTACCGCGTCTCTTTAGGGCGTGGTTAATCATGCATCTACACAACTTCCGGTGCGTTGCGCATTTGATTCTTTACCATGCATCTCCTTCCCAACTTTGTCATTCATTCACATAAATAAGTTAGATAGGTTATTCGTTTTTTCTCCCTATCGGTTTTGTCTTCATTCTTCTAAGTGTCAAATTCTCCAAGACCACTTTCCTCATTATGTATCCCAGAAATTTCAATTCTGTTTTTCTCATTTTAGTTACATGTTTTTTGGGTTTTTTTTTTACATTCTCAGCAACCATCTTTAGTAAAGCATCTCTGTGTCCTCAAAAATCTTCTTCAGCTTTGATTGATTGATTTATTTATTTTTTTACGGCTTATCAACCCTTTGTAGGCTGATTAAAACCAGGACATATTTTCATATTGTAACATTTTTTTTTGAGATATATAATGTTTTCGTGATACAAATTAGCTTTGGGGAGAAGATTCATATCTGCCCTAGAGTATTTGCACGTAAATGGATACAATTAACCTAAAGGGAATTAGAACTAGGCTCCACACGCACATTTAAGGTTTTCAGCACCTGATATTTCCAAACGGTCACCCATCAAGGTACTGATCATTCAAGATGTTGCTTAACTTCAGTGATCGCTTAGGAACTTGTATTCTAACGAACTGTGTATTCCAACATTCACTGCTGATTGATATTACATACTTGATCAGCATTCTTTTCTTTGTTGTTAGCGAATTGATCCTAATACTTTGTTTAGCTTTTGGAATTGTTCCAATGCGGATCCGGATTTGGATGCCATACTCTCCCTCGTAGGACTTACGCGCATTACACGGGCGAGAAGAACACTATGAAAGGTGAAAAATTAGGAAACATTGAAAGAATATATGTAACTCTAAATGGTCGGTTCAAAAAATACCTTTACTGAATTCATGCACCTTTTTGCCATCGCTACTATAATATACAGACAAACATTTCATCAATGGAGTAACAGAGGGGATGGGCGGTCCGTTAAAGTCGATTGTCTGTAGATGGGAAGGGATTATTTTTGAGTTATAAAACCACTATAACAACTACCAGTAGTTATGAACTTTATATATATATATATATATATATATATATATATATATATATATATATATATATATATATATTTGAAATTAAATTGAATTAAAGTACTATGCTCTGTTCCATCTTCAAGCGAAATGTTTTTGGAATAACTTATTTCAGAAATTGACGTGTTTTATAAGCATATTCCTTATTAAAATCAAAATTTCTATGGTAACAGCTAGAGCAATTGTTTAAAGAAAAAGGGGCGTAAGGTGTTAATAATTTGTATCAATATCTCGGTTACATTCACAGATGTCAAGTCAGGGTAAGGTTGGGGTGTCTAAATTTAAAGCGGAAGAATACATCGCCTAGTCTGGTTAAGCGTCTATGGAGATTTATTTATTTATTTATTTTTCTATATATTTTTTATTTTTTAATATATTTTTTATTTTTTTCTGAAAGGGTTTTGTGTATATAAAAACTGTCGTAAATCGCTAACATTTGTTTTTTGACGACTTCATAAAGGGTTATCTTTTTTGGTAGGGCATTTAAACTATTTATTAGGACTATGGATTTTAAAAATTATTTTATTGTTTGTTTGTTTTTATGCTAATTATTCAATGCAAAAATTTGATGATGTCGGCAAAAAACCGTTAACTCATGTCTATTTTTTAATAGATTTTTATTATTTAGAAACTTAATAATGTGTAGTTTTTCATGTAGGCATAGAGGGCATGGGTCATCCCAAGTTTTACAAGTTCTAGTTTTGTTTATAATCTTCCATTTTACTTTTGGTGTTTTATTCATTTCTTTCAAATGCCAAAAATATTTAGATAGGGAAGTCTGATTTCTTTTATTTATATTGTTGAAAGAGCACTTATGCTGCCCCCATCTGGCTTTAAATTCATTCTTCGTAGACCCAATGTATATCATATTAGTATTAGGACTTTCAATGGATGACATAGTACATTGGTATACCGCAGATATAACACAGCATTTATTTTCCAATGGGCAGTCTTCTGAGTTTCTACAATCACATAATCTTTCACTATTTTTGTCTAATTTAAGTGTAGGGTTTTTATTAATACTATTCAGGCATGGGGGTTTGTTCAGGATTTTATTATTGTGTTTTTTTATTATGCTTTCTAGATTTTCAGTGTAACTGTAACTTAATTTTAGGGTGTTTTTATTAAATATTTTACTAAGTCTACTATTGGTAGGAAAGTGTTTTTCAATTAAAGCTAGGGATTTCTGTCCTAGCTTAATACTAACCATTTGGTTGAACGGAGGGGTATACCAAATGATTTTTTTTCCTGTTTTTTTCGGCTTAGTACAATTGCTTCTATAATTGATGTTAGCATTTTTACATCCACTATTTTTTATAATGCCAGTGTAATAATCCCTATTGTAGACGCCTGCTCAGGCACATTTATGTTTATTCAACACCCACATGGGCCACCTTTGGTTCATAATGCAACTATCTTAAGTGGAACATAGTTACAGTTTCTGGAAGAGAACGCTTTATCTAGCCTGATCAACATCTAAACCCTTTTGGTCACAGTGATTTCGTGCTAGCACAACCACCGACGGCCAAAAAGGGTTCCGTCTACATAATTTCACCGTGATATGGTTTCAGTCACTTCCCAAATACTGATAACATCAACTTCCTGACAAATCTACCATGATGAGATTCGAACTCGGGACTCATGTTCAGAAACCATTCGGCCACGTTAACCATTACCCCACCCACAAATGATGAATAAAAACGAGAGACAGAGACATGAAGGCCCATGTGCTGAAAGCCATTTTTTTGTTTTTGTTCTTACAATAATATTCAACATGTGTAAGACCCAGGAGCCACTCAATGTAGAGCGTTGGAACTGTTCCTGCAGAGATATATATAATAACGGTTAGCCCTAGAGGTGATCAGGTTAAGATTGTGGTGATCGGGAAAACATCCTCTTGGGAAGAATCTGCTCGAGTGGAACTTACATCTCCCCCCAATGGAATACGAAAGGAACGAGAGGGGCTCACTTGAATGTGCGTGGAATGGCGGGTCCTAACCGTGTACGGTAGAACTGGTGAAACTTGGCATAATAAATAAAAGAATGATTCCAAACAACATACTAATGTAAGCATTTCAACTATAAGTTTAATAAGTCTATTACTACTAGGTTACGATGAGTAATTCTGCTGTTTTCATATCTGATGACTAATTGTGTATTAACTATTGGCAGAATGTTATCGCTCAAAATCTGAAATGACATATCACTTGACTAATACTCGAATACTATTAAGTTCTTTTATCATGAGTTAATGATAGAAACCCTATTAAAATTGTTTTATTTTTTGTCATAATCATCGTTTTCAAAGTTAAGCGGAGTTTAATCTTATCTGTGCTTTGGTGGTTGTCTACTTAAGAACACTCGAGATTGTAACTGTTACCCTTATGCTCGACTTAAAAAAGTACATACTAAATATCCATAAATATCATTTACTGGCTATGTCCATTATACATATAATTTCTTCTTCTTCTTTTTTCTTCTTCTTCTAAGAATTTTTCTTTTTCTTTTGGATGTCTTTCGTCTTTCTGCATCTTACTTTAATTTCCATTATTCTGTCACTGCATAGTGGGTAGTGGCTCGGATTGAGTAATCAAAGAACCGAGTTCGAATTCCAGTCAGATCCATTGCATTCACTTACGTGCTAATATCCATTGGAAACTTATGAATCCTCTTTTTCAGCTATAGGTAAATAGCAGACGGTTTTTTTTAAGGGAAACTGAATTCAAACTGGCCTGGAGAGGTTTTGGGCTCCCTCAGACTATCTTTCCCCAAAGACACAAACTCCAGCTGTCGTACCATTACGGATTCCTTTATCATTAGTTAACCGACTTAGAGAGTTTTTAAAACATTCTTCCGATATTAATTATTTCTCTTCTTCTTCTAACCTTTTCTTTTATCTTTTTTCTTCTTTTCTTCTTCTTCCTCTTTTTTCTTTTTTCTTCTTCTTTTCTTCTTCTCCTTCTTTTATTCTTCTTTTTTATTCTTTTATTCTTCTCTTTTCTTTTCTTCTTTTTTTTTCTTTTCTTCTTCTTCTTCTTCTTCTTCTTCTTCTTCTTCTTCTTCTTCTTTTTTTTTCTTTTTCTTTTCTTTTTCTTCTTCTTTTCTTCTTTTCTTCATCTTTTCTTCTTTTCTTCATCTTTTCTTCTTTTCTTCATCTTTTCTTCTCTTTTCTCCTTCTCATCTTTTCTTTTTCTTCTCTTTTTCTTTTCTTCCACTTTTCTTCTTCTTTTCTTATTCCTTTTTCTTCTCTTTTCTTCTTCTTCTTCTTCTTCTTCTCTTCTTCTTTTTCTTCTTTTCTTCTTTTTCTTCTTTTCACATTTTCCTTTCTCTTTTCTTCTTCTTTTCACCTTCGTTTTTTCTACTTTTCTTCTTCCTTTCTTCTTCTTCTTCTTTTCTTCTTTTTCTTCTTCTTTTCTTCCCTTTTCTTCTTCTTTCTTCTTCTTCTTTTTCTTCTTCTTTTCTTCTTTTCTTCTTTTCTTCTTCCTGTTCTTCTTCTTTCACTATCCATATTTTCCCTTTTTCTACTTTTTTGTTTTCTTTTTTTACGTTGGTGTTGTTCTTTTCTACTTTGGCCGACATTTTTATTTTTCCATTTACTTCCTCTCTATTTCTGTCATGTCGCATTCTTCATATTCTTCATGATTCTTATTGGGAATGGTAACGAATTGTTTTCCCGTTGGTTTCTGTCTGATTTTGAAGTCAGAGTTATATTTCTCAATTGATTGTCAAACAAGTCGAGGTGGGCTGTGGTGTGAGATAAAGTCGCGTCTTATTGCGAAGTGAATACAAACCCGCCATTTCCATTTTTCTGCTCGTCATCTTCGTGAAGTTCGTTTCAAACTGCTCCATGAAATTATTTGGCTTTATTTTCGCTTTTCAATGCCTTTTTCGTCACCATTTTTTAGTGCCATAGAGACTGAGGCCGACATGCCACGTTGAGACCGATAACATTGCAAATTCTTGTTTTTATTTTGTCCAGAATCTCTAAATATATAGTAAAAGCCCAGATGTGTCAGCAATATGCAATGCCTAAACAAATGCTAGATTTATACATGTGTAATATTTCGGTTAGAAAACATTGTTCTCTAAGACGATTAAAATAGAGCAGTTTAGCTTTGGTGGCATTGAAATTAAGAAGCCATTTCTTGACCGAAGTAAGAACAGAATGAAGGTCATTTTTTAGATCAGCTTACATTTCGAACCGGTCAAACTTAGCATTAAGAAAGGAATTAACACTTGTGTTATCAATGTAGACCCCATGGTTAAAAAGTATTTTGCCTAATTGAAAAACGGAATGCAGTTATAATTTATGACGGCAGGGACACTTTCTTTTGGTAGCTTTTAAATTTTTAGGCAGGTAGAAATTGATTCCATTGTTTTAAATACATCAGTTCATGTTTTCTATAACATACAAGCCGTAAAAAATCAATTAATCAATCAAAGAAAACCCCATCACGCACATTTACGAGAGTGAATCAAAAAGTTTGTTTTATTATATAAGAATCTATATACGAATTATATAAGAACACAATCAAACACATCGTATATATAGATATATATATATATATATATATATATATATATATATATATATATATATAACAGAATGGCAACCCTATTTCTCAGTATAGTCACCGCATCTTTTAATGGTAGTATTTCATCTACGAATGTGGGAATCTAATCTAGATTTGTAAACTCATTCCTGATTCAGTCAATTCCTAAGATCAATTTTCACTTCTTCATCAGCACCTGACCTAGCACTCACAGACTTTTATCTCTTTGATCCAAAGTAATTGAGAGATACTCGTCATACTGATGACGAAGGAGAGAAAACTGCTATAAGCAGTTCCAGCTACGTCAGGTTCCAGATGAATGTTTTTTTTTGTAATAATGTTAACCCAATATGAGGCTCAAGAGCCATTCAAACGGATGAGGAGGGGTGGAAACCGGACAATAGGTGAACCTATCTGTTCCTATTGGCAGAGAAGAGACAAAAATAACTAAAATGAAATAAATAGTGAATACAATTTGACAGTACAGACATAGAAGTTGGACTTACACAGCTGAAACACACTTTAGAATGAACCTAAAACCCATTTCTAAACAGGAAACAAGGGATAAACTCTACTCATATTCAATTGATGGAGACGGCAAATGAACTGTTTGATAGGAAGACCTTGCTTTTCCTATTGATGGAGAAGAGACAAAATTTTAAAAAATAAAATAAAATAAATACTGAATAAAATTTCAGAGTTCAGGCACGGGTGTTCGGGGAGTTCAGGCACGGGTGTTCGGGATACAGGGCTGAAGTAGACTTTAGAAGGGAGTTAAAAGGAAACACTAAACACGAAAAAGGGAATAAACCCTCTACTCCTATTCTAAAGAACGGGGAAGAAGTGTAAACCGGATGATAGAGGAACCTATCTATTGTGAACCTGGGATGTATAGATATATCTTGATGTACGGTGTGTTTGACTGTTTCTTATATCATACTCATATAGATTCTAAATAAAATAAATTGCATTACTTTTTGACTCACCTTCGAATTATTTTCTATGGTGGTAACCCCAAATATTTCAGTAAATATAATTTTCTTTTTTCGTCTGAAACTTGATTGTAATTTTCTGTCAAGGAATCGTCGCTCTTCTATACCAAATACAAATGGCCTCGCGATTAAATTATTTCCTTGAATCTTCCCGCTGGCATTTTGATATTTGTTACGGCCTGCTTATTACTTTTCAAATAATAATTCTCCGCGGTCCGGCTACTTATCCCACGTTTATTGATCCTCTTCTTTTATGTGTCGTGTCTTTGCAGGACGTGGCCGATCAAGGCTCTCCACAATTTTCTATGCTTTCTAGCCCTTAGCTACGTTTCTCTTTTTGCTATCACCCCTAATTCCAATTCTACCAACCATATACAGGGCGTGATGGATACATTTTCGTCTAAATGATGCAAAAATGAAAATAACACGATCTTATTTTAACAGATATACCAAGAGAAAAGATATTTTGAAATACTAAAGAGTAAATCTTTTTCAATAAACTCGCCATTGGTTTCAACCATGACCTCCAGATGACTTTGGAGCCCCTGCAACTCTTGTGGACGGTCTCCTTGTATATTGGGCAATGCTGCCATAATCCTTGCATTTAGTTCATCTTTGGTGTTACAAGAAGGAAGTTTGATATCTTACTCAACTGCATACCACATATATAATCACGGATATTGGATTTTAAGAAGTTAGGTGGCTAGATGTAAGGATGTGATGTGGTCACAGAGATTGTGTGAAAACAATAACTGGGTTCTCCTGATTGTGTAGCATGGTCTACCAGCAGGCAACATCTTGACGTAGGGCAGCACTTCCTCCTCAAGGTATTTAATATAAGCCTTGGTGTTAAGTCTGAGTCAGTCTCCAACAAATTTGTGAGTTCTTTTCGTATCAGAACGATCAGAGTTTTTCCGAACTGTCGTACCTTCGTAATTACTAATAGAATCATTCAACTTTTTCCGAATCCTCTGCACTGTCTTGAGATTGACACTGAAATGTTTGGATTGGAGCTTTCCATATTTTTGGCAGGAGAAAATTATACTGCTCTTTTTCGCAAAGATGGTGCCCAACTGACCCTACTATACCGTGCAGTCGACAAAATTAAAAACAAACAAAGCGCATGCGCAAAATCAAAAATATAATTGGCGACAATTTATTCATTGTATCATGTACACAAGTTGATTAAGATAGGTTATGCGCTGGTATCCTCTGTGGCGCTTGCATTCAGTATGTTCTGCCAGTTTCAAGGTCTCTAAGCCCTCTTTCCGCATTATGCACACTTGAAGTTTAATCTGTTGCCATTTGATTTTAAGAATAAGTTTCCCTTTATTCCCTAAAATTTAGTCGTTGTTTGCATGTCCAGTACCTGGTGTTCCCACTGTCTATCTATGGAACCATATTTCTGTTGCCTCTTATTTTTTAAGATAAAATATTCCAGACGTCACTTGTATATGGGTACAAAAAAGTATACTTATCCCTTCATTATTTCTTTGTATTTTTAGTTTCGTTTTCTTCGTTTATTTTTTTCTTCTTATAGCTTTCCTTTTTTCTTATTCACTTATTTCTGATTATTCTTTTTCGAATCATAACATAGTCTAACATTAGGGTATAAATAGGCGCCATCTTTCTAACATTTTAGAAAATATTCTCCCAGTCAAGCTATTAAAATATTACTCCGCACCAAAGTTCATGTTTTTCTTTACTTAAAAAATAGTGCTGTAATATATGGAGTTTCTTATATGGTAATGAAAGCGTGATTAGTCTTCTTACGTATAAAGAACCGATTTGAAGTGACTGTTGAGAATACAAGGTGAAACATAGAAATTAGGGAACTTATAAAAAAACTGCTACTAACAATTAGTAAAAGCTGAAGTTTTAACCGCACAACGAGAATAAACTAATGATTGACTGGCGGGGGGACTGGCTTGTATCTTTTGTTTTGGCATATCAACCTCAATGGGTTATTTAATGCCGACAATTTTTTTATTGCAGGTAATATTTTGTTTTGACAAAAATCTATTTCTGGTAATAATTTTTTACTTCAAAAATGTATTGTTGGTAATATTTTTTTTTCAAAAATGTATTGCTGGTAATAGCATTTTTTCTTCAAAAATTTATTACTGATAATAAATTTTTTACAAAGTATTTCTGGTATTAAAACCTATTTTTACACTTCCATGGTGTTTTTACCCCGGTTTCGAGGTTAACTATTTACCCATAGCTGGGACCCTGACAGGTGCTACCGCTCTGGCTCAGAGTAGATCTAAGAACACCAGCAATTAAGAGGTGGTTCCACGTTCATCAAAACCTCCAGAATCAGAGGCATTGCTGCTGGATGTAGTTTATCGTCTTACCCAGGACGCGGCTTGTATCTTTTAATACGTCTAAAACAAGCTATTATTATTTCTTCATCACTCATCGAACTCTGAAGTTTTCCTGTCATAATGAATGATTGCAATAAAAACAAGGCTCCGTGCTTAGAACAAAATCTTTCGGGACTTATTCTTCCTCTGGACCCAAACTGGAATAAACAGATATGATCCATTGCAAAAGGTATTGGAAAAATGTTCAACTTATTCTTTAGTTTCTGAAAGCATCCGGCTCTTGTCATTCTTTTTTTTTTTTTGTACAAGAGTCAGATTAAACCAAAACTTGGAATATTAATGTCATATCTAAACTGGAGCTGCACAGTCCTCACTGTACAACCTCGATTAACATCAAACTCGTTCTTAAAGGGGTTGACATATTCAACCTTCTGCAGATTCTTTCCCACAATGCAACACTGCAATCCTGTCGCAATGAACAGTTGCACTCGCAACTCTGTATCAAGAATTTTACACTTCCTGCGTTAAAATATAGTAATTAACCATTTGTTTCAAATATATTGTTATAATTAATATCACAAATACCAGGCTAATATCATTTTATCATCAATACCCACATATCTACCGCCCCTGGTGATAGCAGGATCAAAAGAAAACTTCGAGAACTATGAGACAAGTATATTTGAAGAAAGCCGACGATAAGAGAATGAGAACAGCTAGCGAGATTATAATAATATACAGGGAGGTATTTTTACGGTAAAAACGTTCTTTTCTTTGCAGTTCTTCGAGTATTTTTAAATGAATCTTAATATAAATGGCTTTTACTGCAGTTCTTCGAGTTTTTTATTGAACGTTTTATAATATATATATATATATATATAAACGTTTATTTTTAGGCATGCCACAATTTCAAATGAAAACAATAAACAAAAACTAAAACTTCTTGAAGCTATATACATAAAACAGTTGAAACCTAACCTGATACCAACGGCTTCCCATTCATTTCTCGTTTTCACTCACGCGTGGTCATGTGATGTCACGAACTGTGATGCGATTTTCGCTTCCATGAAATATATATCGAGTTTATCGTTGCTTTGAAATTTTCATGCAAAAAAAACAGACTATCATTATTGTTTCGTCCGAAAATGTAATTGTTATCTTTGATAATTTATGCCTTAGATAGTTTAAACATGTATCAATCGTCTTTCAATGATAATGTTAAGTATTAGACGATATGAAGGAACTTTACTTAAATAAATAGACAAAACGTGTCTTTTTATTTAACGTCATCAATGAAAATTGCTGCCTAAATATATATTATATATATATATATATATATATATATATATATATATAGGGAGTCGTTAATCGACAGGCTATTGGCTCAACCGTTTTCCGAGTTAGGGATCCACACCTCAGTTCCTAGGGAGCGACAGCCAGAGAACCTGCATATATAATTTGATTATAGTTGTGAAAGTTTTGTGGAGAAACAACTACACTTTTTAAAGTGCTGAATACAGAGACCTGGCGCACTAAACGAACATCCGAAGGTTTTGAATTCAGTGATGTCCTTCTCTTAGAACAGTTGCCATAATCTAACTATTTACCCATACCTGGGGGGGAGAAAAAGAGGCATCATACCTTTCCCAACGGTATTAGCACGTAAGTGAATGTAATAAATTCGACTGAAATTCGAACTTGGCTCTTTTGATTCCTCAACTGAAACCGCTATCCATTACTCCACCTTGCCTATATACATGTAAACGACCTCAGTATCAGAGATATAGCCTATATAAATATTACAAAAAAAAACATCAGCACAGAACGGCGAAAGTCTGTTTCATGTTTGAACACGAGGTTCAGACCATAACATAAAACAAATTGTCGCCACTTGGTGTTGACCTCGGTGCCCATTCATATATATATATATATATATATATATATATATATATATATATATATATGGTGTTCCAATAAATTTCAATAACTTGCAATTTCAACCATGGAAAGATTAAAAATCAAACAATGTGTTAAAGTTATCGAAGCCTATTACGAAAATGGACGTTCAAACAGAATTTCAATGTGAAGTCCCCAGGTCGCATCATCTCTCGAAACAACGAAGTCAATTAGCCATCACGATCGTGCGACTTGACGCCTTTAGCTTTCTTCCTTTGGGGTCATCTCAAAAGTAAGGTTTATGCCAACAAGCCAACAACAATTCAATAGCTGAAGGATGAAATAATAAGGCATATTGGTGAGATCGAAGAGCAACTATACAGAGACGCAATAAAAAAAAATTGACCATTGAATGGAGGTGTGCCACCGAAGCCTTGGCGAATATTTGGGCGATATTATTTTTCACACAATCGCAACTTAAAACTGATTTAATTTTTCACAAATAACACTGATTTATTTACTGCTGATTTTGACTTTGATCCGTCTTAATGAAACACCTTTATATAAAAGAGAGAGAGAGAGAAAGTGTTGAGATGTTGGATGTGTTCCCGCCTGTGTGTATTCCAATAAAGACAAACACAGATGTAGGGGAAAATACTGGTATATTTGAAGAGGTATTTAACAACAGAGTGATTAGTAATAAGGAACGCAGGTTAGTAATAACAATTAGCAAGAGTCTACAGTCCAACGGTAACTTCCGGTCGAGAGACGGAAGTGCAATGGTCTCGTGATCTCCACAGAACGTGATGAACAGATCTCCCCTGATATCTCTAGCACTGACCTATATCGTAGAGAGATCAGTCCATTTCCTCAGAAGGTGGGTGCGCCCCCAGAAAGAGAGAGAGAGAGAAAGAGAGAGAGAGAGAGAGAGAAAAGAGAGAGAGAGAAAGAGAGAGAGAGATCAATACAAAAGATCATGTTCCGCCAAAAAGCAAAAACGGTTGAGCAAGTTATTTCTAGAAGATAACGTTTTTAAGACAAGCAGTTTTTTCCAATTTGAGTGCTGGATATTATGAACGAGAACATTTTTCTTGTTTGATGTACTTTGCCCCTTCATGGTGTGGGTGATCATGGCTCGCCATAGCTACTTATCCTATTTAACCCTAAGTAATATCGGCCCCCTTCCTATTCTTCCCTATGCTGCTTCAGCCATCTATTTACACATGCTCATGTTGTAGATTATCATTGTTTATATCTGTCTCTCTTTCTCTCAATCTGATCAAGATCTACTTTGTCATAAATTGTCCGAAAATTTCAAATCTCTTAACATTTCACAGATAATGAATTAATAGTAATAAATAACATTACAAATACAATTAAAAATTTGTGATTAATCTTAAGATGTCTGATATTGCTTCGAAACCCGAAACAGAGAAAAGATAAGTGAAAAGTGAATATGAATTTATTAATAAATAGATAGGTATGTAAAATCTGAGATAGATGGATATGGACAACGATAGACAGACAGACATACAGACATACAGACAGATAGACAGATAGATAGATAGATAGATATGAAGAAACTGAGATAGATGTGAACAAACGGAGATAGATAAATAGATAGATAGATAATGAACAAACTGGGATAGATAGGCAGATAAATAGATAGATAGACAGACATGAATAAACTGAGATAGATTTATAGATAGATATGAAGAGGGCACCTTGAGGTGGTGTAATGGTTTGCAAGCTTGTCTGGCTAGAACAATTACGACTGAGTAGTGAGTTCGATCCTCACTCGGTGCCACATCTAAGCTACGCTTGGAAAATCACTAGATGGATATGAAGAAACTGAGATAGATATCAACAAATTGAGATAGATATGAACAAACTGAGATGTGAACAAACTTAGATAGATAGATAGATAAATAGACAGATAGATAATGAACAAACTGGGATAGATAAATTGAACAAGACATACATGAAGAAACTGAGAAATTGATAGATAGACATACATGAACAAACTGAGATAAATTGATAGATAGACATACATGAACAAACTGAGATAAATTGATAGATAGACATACATGAACAAACTGAGATAAATTGAACAAAACGTAGATAGATATAATAAATAGATAGATGAACAAACGTAGATAGATAGATAGATAGATCCCAATCCCTTTACTGACAAAAAACAT